TCGGATCCCTACATTTGTATCTTTGTGGTAAATACCCAGTAGTGCAATTGCTGGATCGTATGGTAGCTCTATTTTCAACTTTTTAGGAACCTCCATACTGTTTTCCAGAGTGGTTGCACCAGCTTGCATTCCCACCAACAGTGTAGGAGGGTTCCCCATGGAGTGTTTTGTGAAGTTGAAAAGATACAGGAAAATTTGTGAACCATGGAAGGGAGATTACAGAGGGCATAGTTGAATAGTGGAACAAATTATAAAATCGTTCTAATAAATTTTTAAAGATTTTAAAATTTTTTAAATTAAGTTTTTTTAAAATTTTATTTTTAAGTAATCTCTATACCCAGTGTGGGGCTTGAACTCGCAACCCTGAGATCAAGAGTCATATGCTGTACTAACCGAGCCAGCCAGGTGCCCCTCTAATAAATTCTTATGACAGTGAATGAGAACTGTGTACAAATCAAAAGCAGGTCTGGAGTGATAATAATTGGATTGTGGATGATTGGGTCACTAACCCAGTTTCGAAAGTAGAAGTCATATGGCTGTACATCTTGGTTTGTTCCCCAGATTAGCTGGTTTTCTGGTTGGTTTTGTTTGACTTCTACTCAAACAATCCTAGCCAGCCATCTCCTAAATTTATGATTGTGGAGATATAGAGCCAGAAAGTGAACTGATTAGCTCTGTGTCTACAACTAGAGAAATTCTGCTGAAAATATTTGCATAGCCCTGAAACTGTATGTTCTAATGTGAAAAAAATGAATCTCTTCACCTAAGACTTTAAGGTATATTTCAGTAATACTAAGACCTTAGATGTTTACTTGCCACAGCATAACCTTCAAACCAGAAATGGAGTTTGCATTCAAAATGAATATTAAGTTTGCCTATCTTGGTTTTTCCACAGGCACAATAACTTGCCTAAAATTCTACGGCAACAGGCACTTAATCAGTGGGGCAGAAGATGGACTAATTTGTGTGTGGGATGCAAAGAAATGGGAGTGCCTGAAGTCCATTAAAGCTCACAAGTAAGTGTAGCCCTTTCCTGTTGGCGGTCTCTAGGTGGTAGTCAAGTTGGGGGCTAACTGTTGGTTTCCTTTTAGAGGACATGTGACCTTCCTTTCCATTCACCCATCTGGCAAGTTGGCCCTGTCCGTGGGTACGGATAAGACGTTAAGGTAAGTCGTTAATGCTGAGAGCATCTTTTCTAAGTTGTGGTCTTTGTTCTCCAGGGACAACAGGAAGCTACCATCAGGGTATATTTTAGTACAATAATTAGATTCATTTTTTGTCTCATCTCATGGCTGTCAGCTATTTAAAGGTATTGCGGTACAAGAAAAGATGGAAAGCTAGTGAACCTTTCACAGTGGTAGAGAAAAAATGACAAGCTTTGCGTTCACATGTACACCATACATCCTAGTCATTGTAAACTGTGAAGTGAAGACGATGGTGGTCCTAAAAGCAAATGTTTTAGGAAGTGAAATATTTGGAGAATATATTAAACATTTTAAGTATGTGAAAGGAGTCTAGGAATGGATGAGTTGATCTTGCTTGATAGTAAATATTTCCAGTGTTGCTGTAAGAAACATGATCATTCTAACTAGCTGCCTATTGTAGTAAATTGTTCTTTGAGTAGGTCTTCATTATGCTTCCCTTTACACCTAGTAAAAGTTAGTGATCATGCCATAAGTGAGCTTCCTGTGTTTTGCAGAACGTGGAATCTTGTAGAAGGAAGATCAGCATTCATAAAAAATATAAAACAAAGTGAGTACTTTTATTTGGAATGTTTTTTATAACTTGATGAAATATGAATATATATACATACATATACACCTTTATTTCTCTGCATGATGGTGGTTACCTCCTAGGGCAATGATTTAGGTTATTTTCCCATTTTTATTTTATTTATTTAATTTTAAAGATCATTTATTTGAGAGAGCACAAGCCGGGGGAGTGGCTGGCAGAGGGAGAGGGAGAAGCAGGCTCCCTGCTTAGCAGGGAGCCCGATGCGGGGCTCGATCCCAGGACTCAGGGATCATAACCTTAGTCGAAGGCAGACACTTAACTGACTGAGCCACCCAGGTGCCCCCTTTCCTTTCCCATTTTAGATTGGAATTCTTACCATGACTGTGTCACCTACCAGGTCTATGATTTAATGATGCTTTTGAATCCAGTTTGTTTTCTAAGACTTAACTTGCAAAATATGTACCAAAAGTTCGTTGTGAAGGTTAAATAGGGTCTTGGATGTGAAAATGCATGGTGCAACTATTTGTCCTTTTTATTACTACTCTAATCATTTCATTTCTTGTTTATGAAATAAAGCTTTGTGTTTTTAACTTACAGATGCTCACATAGTGGAATGGTCCCCAAGAGGAGAGAAATACATAGTTGTCATACTGAATAAAATAGATGTCTATCAACTTGACACTGCATCTGTTAGTGGCACCATCACAAATGAAAAGAGAATATCTTCTGTTACGTTTCTTTCAGTAAGTGACCAGAAAACAGTGGTGGAATCTTGGTGTCTATGGTGATGGTTGGATTTGTTGATGACATTCTGGATATTCTTTTTCTCTCTGCTAGGAGTCTGTCTTTGCAGTGGCTGGAGATGAAGAAGTTGTAAGGTTTTTTGACTGTGATTCACTAATATGCCTCTGTGAATTTAAAGCTCATGAAAACAGGTACTTTTTTTTTTTGGCCATTCTCTGTGTGTACGTATGTGTAGAGTCTTCAGTAAACGTTACGTATGCAGTAGTTTCATAAAGCAGGGTACATGTTTTCTCATGAACAACTGCAGAGATAGACATTTCCACATATATATGATTTCTGGAGTGTGAGAGGATGGTGGAAATGTCTTCTTGGCCTTAAGTAGTGCAAAAGTGGGGAAGTTGGCATCAGGACTAGTGATTGCACAAGATATTTGTCCAGTAATACTATTAAACTTGGGTCCTGAAATCAACCAAATTTGACGAGGAACAAAGAAACTAAACAATGGAGCTTTGCCAGGACCTCCCTTGTCCCTTTACTCTCTGCCCCGTGTCCACCTCTTCCCTCTTTGTACACTAGTAGTTTTCCCTACAGGAGAAATATGTGACCGTATTGACTTCTGTTTTGTGCCAGTCTTTCTTAACCTGTTCCTGCTCACTGTACTTCTAGGGGTAGACACTGATTCTCAGGGTAAATGGCCAAGTGACTTGGCCAAGATTACCCCACTGTTGGGTGAGGGAACTGGGACCCAAATCCAGTTCTATCTGCCTCTGCTTTTTCTACTAGTTTGGAAAAGGTGATAATGTACAGTTATACTTTAATATGCTTCATTTGCATGTTCTTCTATGTCTTCCATAAGTCCTAGTTTTTATTTTCTAAATAATTCTCTCTGAATAGTCTGAGTACTACCAGTGTACAGGCCCTGTTTTTTTCCTGCATTGGGAAGTGTTCATTCAAGGCCATTTCAAATGTACTAGTAAAACTGGAACACTTAAGATAACACTTCCTATATTTTGCCGTTCATCCATTCATTTAACAGGTATTCATGAGAATCCATTAAGAACTGCACTAAATTTTTAAATGATGAACAAAAAAAGACAAGGGCTTGCATTTGTGTTTTTTGTTAGTGGAACAACAGACAGATGATAAACATGTAAGCAGATAATTATAACAGGAAGGAAACAGAAAGGGGTGCCTTGAGAATGACAGTGGTAACTTAGTATGATCGGGGAAGGGGGAGGGTGGGACTTCACAGATGAAGACAGCTGTTTCTAAAGAGAGGAGAGAACGGCAGGCGTAGTGCCCCTGAGGGAGGAAGGAGCTGGGTGTATTTTAGCAACAGATGAAAGAGCTTTGTGCAGAGTGAGCCAAATGGTGCATGGCCTTGTAAACTGGTGAGGAGTTTAGATTTTATACCGAGGGCCTTTGTAGATTTTGTTTTGTTTATTTCTTACTATGGAAAAATTTAAAGGCATACAGACCAGTTTAAGGAAGCAACCCCCATAGACCCACCACCCAGCTTCAGCAGTTGTCCGTTTATAGCCAGACTTGCTTTATATATGTCCCCAGCCCCTTCCTCCTGTCCTGTGTTATTTTTAGAAGGATCCTGTTTTGTAGGATTTTAAGCCTGGGAGTAACATGATTTGATTCATAATTTTAGCCACTTAGGCTACTTGGTAGTCTAGAAGAACAACGGCAATAGCTTGGACGAGGGTGGTGGCACTGGAGGTGAGAGAGATGGGTGTGTAGGCGGAAGCCATGGTTCATCTCTGTTGTTCTATTTGTCTCTTCATCCTGAACTTGGAGTCTCTTGAGATTAGGGACTTAAGTATTTTCATTTCCTTTATGATAACTTAATTATAGTTATCATGATCATCTTTTCGACTTTTTTTTTTAATTTAAATTCAGTTAATTAACATCTAATGTATTACTGGTTTCAGAGGTACAGGCCTGTGATTCATCAGTCTTATATAACACCCAGTGCTCATTACATCACGTGTCCTCCTTAATGTGCATCACCCAGTTACCCCCCTCCCCTGCAGCAACCCTCAGTTTGTTTCCTGAGACTAAGAGTCCCTTATGGTTTGTCTCCCTCTCTGGTTTCATCTTGTTTCGTTTTTTCCTCTCTTCTGCTCTGATCCTCTGCCTTATTTCTTAAATTCCACGTATCAGTGAGAGCATATGATAATTGTCTTTCTCTGATTGACTTATTTTGCTTACCATAATACCCTCTAGTTCCATCCATGTCGTTGCAAATGGCAAGATTTCAATTTGTTGATGGCTGCGTAATATTCCATTGTATATTATATATACCACATCTTCTTTATCCATTCATCTGTGGATGGACATCTGGGCTCTTTCCATAGCTTGGCTATTGTGGACATTGCTGCTATAAACGGGGTGTAGGTGCCCCCTCAGATCACTGCATTTGTATCTTTGGGGTAAACACCTAGTAGTGCAATTGCTGGGTCGTAGGGTAGCTCAGTTTTCAACTTTTTCAGGAACCTTCATACTGTTTTCCAGAGTGGCTGCACCAGCTTGCATTCCCACCAACAGGAGGGTAGGAGGGTTCCCCTTTCTCTATGTCCTCACCAACATCTGTCATTTCCTGACTTGTTAATTTTAGCAATTCTGACTGGTGTGAGGTGGTATCGCATGTGGTTTTGATTTGTATTTCCCTGATGACAGCTGATGTGGAGCATTTTTTCATGTGTCTGTTGGCCATTTGGATATCTTTGGAGAAATGTCTGTTCAAGTCTTCTGCCCATTTCTTGATTGGATTATTTGTTCTTTGGGTGTTGAGTTTGATAAGTTCTTTATAGATTTTGAATATTAGCCCTTTATCCGATTTGTCATTTGCAAATATCTTCTTCCATTCTGTCGGTTGTCTTTGGGCTTTGTTGACTATTTCCTTTGCTGTGCAAAAGCTTTTTATATTGATGAAGTCCCAATAGTTCATTTTTGCCCTTGCTTTCCTTGCCTTTGGAGACGTGTCTAGCAAGAAGCTGCTGCGGCCAAGGTTGAAGAGGTTGCTGCCTGTGTTCTCCTCTAGGATTTTGATAGATTCCTATCTCACATTTAGGTCTTTCATCCATTTTGAGTCTATTTTTGTGTACGCTATAAGAATGGTCCAGGTTCATTCTTCTGCGTGTGGCTGTCCAATTTTCCCAACACCATTTGTTGAAGAGACTGTCTTTTTTCCACTGATATTCTTTCCTGCTTTGTCGAAGATTAGTTGACCGTAGAGTTCAGGGTCCATTTCTTGGTTTTCTATTCTGTTCCATTGATCTTTGTGTCTGTTTTTATGCCAGTACCATACTGTCTTGATGATTACAGCTTTGTAATAGAGCTTGAAGTCTGGAATTGTGATTGATGTCACCAGCTTTGGTTTTCTTTTTCAACATTCCTTTGGCTATTTGGGGTCTCTTCTGGTTCCATACAAATTTTGGGATTATTTGTTCCAACTCTGTGAAAAAGGTTATTTTGATAGGGATTGCATTGAATGTGTAGATTGCTCTGGGTAGCATAGGGGTTTTTTGTTTGTTTAAGATTTTATTTATTTTTTTGACAGAGAGAGAGTGTGAGCACAAGTGGGGAGCGGCAGGCAGAGTGAGAGGGAGAAATAGGCTCCCAATGTGGGGCTTGATCCCAGGACCCTGGGATCATGACCTGAGCTGAAGGCAGACGCTTAATCAACTGAGCCACCCAGACGCCTCTAGGTATCAGACATTTTAGCAATATTTTGTTCTACCAATCCATGAGCATGGAACATTTTTCCATTTCTTTGTGTCTTTCTCAGTTTCTTTCATGAGTGGTCTATAGTTTTCTGAATACAGATCCTTTGCCTCTTTGGTTAGGTTTATTCCTAGGTATCTTAATGGTTTTCGGTGCAGTTGTAAATGGGACTAGCTCCTTAATTTCTTTTTCTTCTGTTTCATTGTTAATGTGTAGGAATGCAACTGATTTCTGTGCATTGGTTTTATATCCTTCCACTTTGCTGAATTCCTATATGAGTTCTAGCAATTTTGGGTTAGAGTCTTTTGGATTTTCCACATAGAGTATCATGTCATCTGCTAAGAGCGAGAATTTGACTTCTTTGCCAATTCAGATGCCTTTTATTTCTTTTTGTTGTCTGATTGCTGAGGCTAGGACTTCTAGTACTATGTTGAACAGCAGTGGTGATAGTAATGGTTGATAGTCCATTTTATCTTGGAATTTGGACCCTGAAAAGGACTTACTGACTCATGGGAATGTGAAGCATAGTTAGATTTTAGCACTGCTCCTTAAGCAGTTTGGAAGCACTTGGAACATTGAAAAATCAAGAGACTGTGTGCATAGAAGCTTTATGACAATATCAAACCATCTGGGAGAAAGGAGCCTTTATGGTGTTCATATTTCTATTCTAGGATAAAAGACATGTTAAGTTTTGAAGTTCCAGAGCATCATGTTGTTATTACAGCATCGAGTGATGGTTTCATCAAAGTGTGGAAGCTTAAGCAGGATAAGGTCAGTGTCTTAACACAATATAAATGTACTTTAATGCAAGTCTTACTACCAGTATTGCTTTGAGTTAAGGGAGGTGGACTATTTTTCAAGGCAGAAATCTAAATAAACTTAAAGTCTCTTCCATGCATGGTTGATATTCGTAGTTTTAAAGTTAGGCTTCCAAGAGCTACCTTGGGGGTTGGTATTGGTGAGTCTGAGCTGGCAGGGTCCCAGAACTCCTGCTTTTTCAATCAGAGAAGTGCTGCTTTCTTCTCTTTTGTTTGTATCGATGTTCTCTGTAAGATTTTGTTACATTTAGTAATGTTACTGCCATTACTAAAAATTTGAGAAAATTACTGATTGATAATGGAACTAACAATAGTTTTGAACCAGATAATTGGAAAATTAAATTCCCTTCAGTAGTCTCACTCTTACAGACCCTCTTGGTTTATTATTCTTGATTGTCTCTTTGTAGACAATTCTGTGAATGTGGTTTGTTGAGTGTGCAAGGTTCTGTGTTAAAACCTAGAAATGAACAAGACATGGTCCTTTTCCTTAGTGAATTTACAGTTTCTGAATACTCAGAAACAAGCTCTGTGAAGGACATAGTCAAACCAAACATGAATCAAGATAATAGATTTCTTCTAAGCAGTATGTTTTATTCTCAAGAAAATAGTATAACTTTTAAATCAAAAACTTAAAATTCCAACTGCCTGACTCAGTCAGAAAAGTATGCAACTTTTGATCTTGGGGTTGTAAGTTCAAGCCCCATGTTGGGTGAAGAGGTTACTTAAAAAAATAAAACCTTAAAAAAATAATAAGTTCACTTGATTAAGGAAAAAGAAATTATTGAAAATTCCCCTATGTTATCATCAATGTTTCTTCTGTTTTAGAAAGTTCCCCCATCTTTGCTCTGTGAAGTAAAAACTAATGCCAGACTGACATGTCTTGGAGTGTGGCTAGACAGAGTGACAGACACACAAGAAAGCCTGCCTTCAGCTGCACAGCCTTCTCCTGGTAAGTGAAAGTCATCATTTTTAGAAAATTTGTTAGCTCTTGAATTGTTGAAATGGAGGAGATTCGGGTAACTTCACTTTATTGTCAGCCGTGTTTATTTCAAGAGGGGAAAAGCGGTCTTTAAATGTACTGTCTCTTGTGTTTTAGTGAGTAAAGAACAGTCCAAAATCAACAAAAAGGAAGCTGGCGATGTAGTGCAGGAAGAAGAAAGGCAGTCCATACCTAACGCAAAGAAATGTGATTTAACTGGTGATAGTAATAAGCCAACGAAAGGAAATACCCCGGTGTCAACCAAGAAGAGGAAAATGGTAGAAATGTTGGAAAAAAAGAAGAGAAAAAAGAAGAAAATATGAATGACACAGTGAATCCCACATTTCTCTTATGAGAAAAACTTCTTAGATGGAATCATTCTTTTCAGATGTACCTTTCCCCTCCCCCCCCAAAAGCTAGAAATTTCTTCTTTTGGGGAAATGTACAGCTTAAAAAAAAAAAAAACACTTTTATGTGTTTATTTTTTTTAACAGTGGTGAAACTGTTTTTGGTAGTCAACATTTTATTAATTATATATCATGGTGATATATACTATGTTAATGTGTAATATTATTTTTACTGTTGTATAAAGCAAATAAAGATCTTTTCAAAATATTGTAGTTTAAAATATACACAGTTTTGTTTTTTGTTTAAAGATTTTATTTATTCACTTAGAGAGCAAGCAAGCATGAGTAGGGGGAGGGAGAAGCAGGCTTCCTGCTGAGCAGGGAGGCTGGCGTGGGGCTCTGTCCCAGGACCCTGAGATCATGACCTGAGCCGAAGGCAGATGCTTAACCGACTGAGCCACCCAGGCGCCCCTAAAATATACACAGTTTTTTTTGTCTTGTTTTTGTTTTTTTTAAAGATTTTATTTATTTGACAGAGACACAGCGAAGAGAGGGAACACAAGTGGGGGAGTGGGAGAGGGAGAAGCAGGCTTCCCGCTGAGTAGGGAGCCCAGTGCGGGGCTTGATCCCAGGACCCCGGGATCATGACCTGAGCCGAAGGTAGTTGCTTAACCAACTGAGCCACCCAGGTGCCCTCCAAGGTTTTTTTCATCTATTTCAGGCCAACAAAAATTCACTTAGTTAATCTAACAAAGATAGCCTTAAATTCAGCCTGTTGATTATAATCTTGTCATCTCATTTTATTCCTCAGTAGATTTCCTGGGTGTTTTGAAAAGACACCTTAATAGAGGATTCGTAGATTTGAATTAGCTGACTGGATGTCAAATACCTGAGGCCAATAGGGAATCCCTCCTGTTCAGGCCAATTGAGACCTCTAACATTTGGACACTGGAATTGCCACTCCCTCTTCACAGGAAGGAAATCATCTAGGAAATGAGTGAAATACTGTGTCCTGACATGTCAGTCCACCTCTTTGTTAACTTAAGGCCTACAAGCAAAGATGCATATGGTTTGGGGTTTTTTGTTATGTTTTTAATATTTTTTAGAGCAGTTTGAGGTTTATAACAAAACAGGAATGCACAGAGATGTCCCATATATCCCCTGCCTCTACACATGCATAGCCTCCCCCATGATCAACATCACTCCTAAGAATGGTACACTTTTTACCAAGGATGAACCTACATCAATGTATCATAATCACCCAAAGTTCATAATTGACCTTAGGGATCACTCTTGGTGTTGTACACTGTAGGGGACAAATGTGTAATGACATATTAATAAAATCCACAGAATATTTCCACTGCCCTGAAACAACTCTTGTGTTCTGCCTATTCATATCTCCCCTACCCAACTTCCCATAATCACTGATCTTTTTATTGCCTCCATAGTTTCACCTTTTCCAGAGTGTGCATGTTAGAATCAGAGTATTTTAGCCGTTTCAGTGTTGTGGCTTCTTTCCCTCGTAACCTGCATTTAAGTTTCTTCTGTGTCTTCATGGCTCGATGGCTTGTTTCTTTTTAATGCTCAACAGTATTCCATTGTCTATATGTACCACAGTTTTTACCCTTCACCTACTGGAGGACATCTTTTCATAGGCTTATGTGCCATCCGTCTATCTTTGGTGAGGTGTCAAGGTATCTGGCTTGTTTTTTAATAAAATTGTTTTTTTACTATTGAGCTTTAAGAGTTCTTTGTATTTTCTTTTTTTTTTTTTTAAAGATTATATTTATTTGAGAGAGAACAAGAGAGAGAGCACAAGAGGGGGGAGGGCCAGAGGGCGAAGCAGAACCCTGCTGAGCAGGGAGCCCGATGCGGGACTCCATCCCAGGACTCCAGGATCATGACCTGAGCCGAAGGCAGTCCCTCAACCAACTGAGCCACCCAGGCGCCCTCTTTGTATTTTCGATAGCAGTCCTTTATCAGATGTCTTTTATAAATATTTTTTTTTCCTGTCTGTGGCTTGTCTTCTCATTCTCTTGATAATATCTTTTGCAGAAGTTTTTAATTTTAATGAAGTCTAGCTTCTCCATTATTTCATGGGTCATGTGTTTGATCTATCTTAAAAGGCTTCATTATATCCAAATATCTCAGTTTTTTTCTTAGGTTTCTTTGCAGGAGTTTTCTAGTTTTGCCTTTTACACTTGGATCTATGATCCATTCTGAGTTAATTTTTGTGGTAGGTGTTATAGGTCTGTGTCCAGATACTTTTTTTTTTTTTTGCATGTGGATATTCAGTTGTTCCAGCACCATTTGTTGAAGAGAGTATCTTTGCTTTGTTTTATTGCCTCTGTTCCTTCGTCAAAGATCAGTTGACTGTACAGTTGACCCTTGGACAACATGGGTTTGAACTGTATGGGTCCACTTACAGATTTTTTTTCTATATAAATACAGTATTGTAAATGTATTTTCTCTTAAGATTTTCTTAACGTTTTCTCTAGCTTACTTTATTGTAAGAACACAGTATATAACACACATTACAAAATATGTGTAATCAACTGTTATCAGTAAGGCTTCTGGTCAGTAGTAGACTTAGCTAACTTCAGGGGAGTTAAAAGTTAATACGCAGATTTTTGACTGCGTGGAGGGTCGGCATCCCTAATGCGCTGTTTAAGAGTCATCTATATTTATGGTGGTCTTTTTCTGGGCTCTCTTCTGTTCCAATGATCTCTTGTGGGTTTGTTGTTTTGTTTTGTTTTGCCAACACCTTAGTGTCCTGATTACAGTAGGAAAGTAAGTCTTGAGGTTGTGTAGCATCAGTTCTCCAATTTTGTTCTCCTTCAATATTTAGTATATTTAGACCATTTACATTTAAAGTAATTAATGAAAATAAATATTGATATGAGTGCTATTTTGTTAATTGTTTTGTTTTTTCCCCCATGTTCTCTGTTCCTTTGTTATCTTACTGCTTTTGTGGTTTGGTTTTCTTTAGTGTTATGTTTGGGTTCCTTTCTCTTTATTTTTTGTGTATTGTAGGTTTTTGGTTTGTGGTTACTATGAAATTCTTATATATTGATAAATACATATATAAAAATATAGATACTGATATATATATATATGTCTATTTTAAGCTGGTAAGTTCTAACACATTCTAAAAGCACTACATTTTTACTGCCCTTACCCCTGTTTTATGTTTTTGATGCCTTGTTTTACATCTTTTTATTTTGTGTATTCCTTAACTCTTGTGGTTATAGTTGATTTTACTATTTTTTTCTTTTAACATTCTTACTTTTTAAGTGGCTGATTTACTGCCTTTACTATATGTTTACCATTATCAGTGAGATTGTTTTCACTCATATATTTTCTTACCTCTAGTTACGACTACTACTTTTCCCCTTAAAGAAGACCCTTTAACATTTCTTGTAACACCAGTTTAGTGGTGATGAACTCCTTTAGCTTTTGCTTGTCTGGGAAACTCTTTATCTCTCCTTCAGTTCTGAATGATAATCTTGCGGGATAGAGTATTCTTGGTTGTAGGGGGGTTTTTTTGTTTTTTTCCTTTTAACACTGAATATATCATGCCACATTCTTCTGGCCTGCAAAGTTTCTGCTGAAAAAGCAGCTGATAGCCTCATATAGGTTTTCTTTGTATGTGACTCCTTGTTTTTCTCTTGTTGCTTTTAAGATTTTCTCTTTAGCATTTTGCCATTTTAATTATAATATATCCTGGCATGGATCTCTTTTGGGTTCATCTTGTTGGGACTCTCTGAGATTCCTCTACCTTGGTGTTAGTTCTCCGAGTGTTAGGGAAATTTTCAACCATTATTTCTTCAAATCAGTTTCTACTCCTTTCTCTCCTTTTTCTGGGACCACTATAATGTGAATGTTAGTCCATGTGATGTTGTCCCAGAGGTCCCTTATTCTCATTTTTAAAAATTCTTTTCTTTTTGCAGTTTTGATTGGGTGATTTCCATTATTCTGTCTTCCGGAGTGCTGATCTGCATCTTTTAATTTGCTGTTGATTCCCTATAGTGTATTTTTCAGTTCTGTTATCGTAACTTTCAGTTCTGTGACTTCTCTTTGGTTCTTTCCCATATTTTATCTTTGTTGACATTTTCACTGTGTTCCTCCATTCTTCTCCCAAGTTCAGTGAGCATCTTTATGACCATTACTTTTAACTCTTTATTAGGTAAATTCTATTTCATGAGGGTTTTCCCCTTTGGGGGTTTTATCCTCTTTTATTGGAACATTTTCTTCTGTCTCCTCATTTTGTTTGACTGTGTTTCTATGAATTAGGCAAAACAGCTCCTTATCTTGGTCTTGAAGGAGTGGCTTTGTGGGTAGCAGTGTCCCCTCTGTAGGCTGCATGTGCCTGGTGGCTTTGGCTGGAGCAGGTGCAGGCCAGGGGATCCTGGGGCACTCTGAGTCGCTGCTACCCTGGCAGGACAGCTGGAGCTATAGTGAGTGCAGACTGCACTGGCAGGATTGCTGGACCTGGAACAGGTTTGCAACAGAGGATCCCAAAGTGTTCTGTGCTGGGGTTGCTGTGGTGGATGGCTGGAGCTGGATCTGGCAAGGGTTGGGAATCCTGGGATGCTCTGTGCCAACCCCTCCCTGTGCTGGGGTTGCTGTAGTGGATGGCTGAGCTGGGGTGGGTGCTGGTTGTGAGAGTCCCAGTGCATGAGATATCAGGGCATTCCTGGTGAAATGCTGAGTCAGGTGCAGGCCTGTAGGGTCCCAGAGCACCCTGTGCTGGGACCACCTTGGTGGACAGCTGGAGTTGGTGTGTTAGGAGTCCAGGGCTCACTGGAGAGCCCAAGCAGGCTGGCTAGAGCACCTGGACGCTGCTCCCTTCTGTGCTATCCAGGTGGAGGGGGAATGTAAACCATGGCTCTCACTGGCACCTCCAACCCCAGGGAGTTCCAGTAGTTTTCCCACCATTTGGTAGACACTCTAGGGTTAATAAATGGATTTCCTTT